CACACATACACATGCTCACACACGCACAAACACACACACACACACACACAAACACACAAAGAATCGACGAGGCAGAGTGGTGGAAAAGTTTTGGTGCACTGCCAGGCTGGAGTCAGTCGGAGTCCCACCATATGTCTGGCCTACCTTATCAGGGTTTTCAGGGTGAGGATTATTATTATTATTATCATTATTATTATTATTATTGTTATTATTATTATTATTATCATTATTTTTATATTTCAGATTAATACTCTATTTATTATTATTATTATTGTTATTATTATTATTATTAAATCGTAAAATTATAATTGTTAAATTATTATCATTCGACATTTTATTTCATTTCATTATTTCATTTTTTTTTTTTTTTATTGCCGAATAAAAGACTGCTCCCATAATTATCAATCAATCAATCTTCGTTTTGCGTCCAGGGACCAACATCATCATTTTTATTATTATCATTATTCTTTTTATTATTATTCATATTTTTTTATTATTCATATTTTTTTATTATTCATATTTTTTTATTATTCATATTTTTTTATTATTCATATTTTTTTATTATTCATATTTTTTTATTATTCATATTTTTTTATTATTATTCATATTGTTCATCAGTAGAGAGGACGCTTGAAATAAGCCAAAAATGATGACGCTAATCAATCATAATAATAATAATAATAATAATAATAATAATAATAATAAAAACATCAGTTGAACATCACAATTTTTTCATCATTACCATCAGAGCCGTCGTCGTCATCATCATCATCATCATCGTAATCATTATCATCATCATCGTCAGCATTATTAACATAATTTATTATAACGCCACCCCCTCCCAAAACCTGCAGCTAAATTTAGATTCGTTATCATCATCGTCATTAGCATGATTTATTATAACTCCGCCCTCTCCCAAAACCTGCAGCTAAATTTAGATTCGGCCTTCACCTTCCTGAAGAGCAGGCGACCAATCATCAACCCGAACCTCAACTTCATGACGCAGCTAGTGGAGTTCGAGAGGAAATGTAGGAGTTGTGGCTGTAGTGGTAGTAGTAGCAGCAGCAGTTGTAGTAGTAGTAGTAGTTGTGGTAGTAGTAGTAGCAGCAGTAGTAGTAGTAGTAGTTGTTGTAGTTGTAGTAGTAGTAGCAGCAGCAGTAGTAGTTGTAGTGGCAGTAGTAATAGTAGTAGCAGTAGTAGTTGTAGTAGCAGCAGTAGTAGTAGTTGTATTTGTAGTATTATCAACGCCACTAATGGTCACAATATGATTTTCAGTATTAATATCAATAATAATAATGATAATAATAATAATAACAATAAGAGGAAGATGAAAAATGCAGATGACGAAAAGGCCAAGGTCATGGGTCTCATGAAGAATCTCTTCGGCCATATTTTTAACGATTCTTACAACAACAATAAAAACAACAACAACAACAACAATAATAATAAAGATAATAATAGCAACAATGATGATGATAATGATAGAAATGATGATGATGATGGTGATTGTAGGATTTCTGGGGGAAGGACACTCGGAGGACTCTTTTCTTCCAGAACATTCTGCCATCAGTATCATCATCATCATCGTCGTCGTCATCATCATCATCATCACTATTCACTATCTTCTACGCCATCGCTATCAGGACCGCTTTTAACGATATCATCATCATCATTATGGCCTCTTCTAGCATCATTATCATCATCATCATCATCATCATGGCCTCTTCTAGTAGCATCATTATCATCATCATCATCATGGCCTCTTCTAGTATCATTATCATCATCATCATCATCTCTGGTGATGAAGTCGCTATCAGAAATTTTGTCGCCGCCGCATTCGCCACCACTAGTCTTGATATCATTATCAGTACTCCTGTCGAGATCATCATCATCATCATCATCCGTACCTTTTCCATCATCATCATCGTCATCATTGTTATTACCTTTCCTCATGAGATTATCATCATCGTCATCATCATCGTCATCATCATCATCATCATTATCATTACCGCCTACGGCAATGACGTCATCATCGTCTCGGTCATCGTTCCCGACTTTGGTTGATTTCCCGGACTCTTCCGTGCATTTGTGTGGGGCAGAACTTCCCGGGGGGATTTCGACCGGAAGGACGAGGAGGTGCTTAATGGCCGCTGATAATAATAATAATAAAAATAATAAAAATAATTATAATAATAATAACAGTAATAATAATGATAATAATATTAACGTTGATGATGATGACGATGATGATGAGAATAATAATAAAAACAAAATTTATAATAATAACAACAATAATATTGATAATGATAATTTTCCGTTTAGCATCATTAATCCTAACAATGACGATGGTAATGACTTCAGTGGTAGTAGTGGTAATGGTGGTAGCTGCAGCAGTAGTAGTGCCAGTAGTAGCAGTAGTAGTGGTGGTGGTGGTGGTAGTAATAGTAATAATAATAGTAGAAGTAGTATTATCCAGGATGTCGTTCCGGTAAAAAAGGCCAGACCGTGTTGCTTTCTGTTGCGTAGTGACGTCACGACAACGTCATCAGCCCAGCCGCAACAGCAACATTATTGCAGGCGGCGTTTCTACACGCAACAATGTTTTTCGCAACAATTTCTGTCGCAACAACATCACCAACGACAGCAAAATGTTGAGGAGCATAATCAGGATTTCCAACAACAACAACAACGACGAGGACATTATCTTAATTTTGATCATTATCAAGACTTTCAACAACAACAACAACAACACAATCAGTATCAACAGCAACAACAAAGTTGCCAGTTTGGGCAAAAATTTTTTCCAACATCTCCAACGGCATTTCAACAAATCATTGTACCAGCAACCACAACAGCTGCAGTAGTGGCAACAACAACAACAACAACAAATGTGACGTCATCAGCAATATATCTGACGTCATTTCAAGAAATCAATAATATTAACAACAACAATAATAATAATAATAACAATAGTTTAACCACAGCGCTAACATTTAACTGTAAAACGAGCACCCATCAACAACAACAACATCAGCAACAACAGCTTTTACACCAACAGCAACATCAACAACAACAACATCAACTACAACAACATCAGCAACAACAGCTTTTACACCAACAACAACAACATCAACAACAACAACAACAACATCAACAGC